AGCAGGAATCTCTACAAAATTTGAACCAAAATAAACCTTTCCTCCTTAAAGTTGTGACTGTCAGGTATTGTGTATCAGTGATAATAAAGTAACTAAAACAATGCTTTACTAATCCTCTAGGAATTTCTTAATTTAATGAAGTTGACACATCAGAATGGATGGTCAAAATATGGGGCCAGTATAAAAAGTTCAAGTAATCAAAGTTATAAATCATGGCTTTAATTGAAACATTGTGAGATGCAGAGTAATGGTATTAAAAAAAAAACTGTTCAGTGAAACAATGGCAGAAAAATCTTAACTCTTGGGAAAGATATGAATATCAGGTACAGGCTCTTAGACCCCAAAATAGGTATGACCAGAGAAAAGCTTTTCAATCTTACATTAAAGCAAAACTATTAAAGATGCAGAACAAAGAAGGAAAACTGAAAACTTCAAGAGAGAAACATCAAGCCATTTATAAGGTAACCAATCCATAAGAACATGTGCAAGCCAGAAGGGTATGGAGCGATATATTTGAGATTGTGAGAGAATATGACTGTCAATCTACATTAGTAGATACAGCGAGGTTAATATTCAGAACTGAAGGAAAAAATCAAGATACTGCAAGATAAGCAAGAACTGAGGAAATTCATACCCACAAGAAAACATGCTGAGGGAACTCCACCAGAAGTTAATCTTTATGGTGAGACATGTGAAACAATAGATCATATTAGAATGATAATTGCAAATGAGAAATAGAAAAATCAGACTTTATCAATACAACAAATAAATTCTGAGAATAGATAATACAGGAGTAAATAAAGCTTGTATGCACAATAGAACCACAAAAATATAAAAAATGTCAGAAATAATTCAATACCTACCAATAATAACGGGGTGTAAGTGATCATTAAACACTCAAAAGATATTGATTGGAAGAATGGATTAAAAAGCAAGACTCAATGTTATGTGACCTGTGAGAATTTTACTTCACTTCTAAAGACTCAAACTGAAACTGAAAATGTGAAAAATGATAATGCAATCAAATGGAATACAAAGCAAGCAAAAATTGTTATTGTTATATCTAGAAAACTAAATTTAAGACAAAAACAGTAACAAAAGCTGAAGAACATCACTATATTTTAATTTAAGGAGGACTAATTAAGAATCATAATGATTAATATAATTTTTTTTTTTTTTTTGTACTGGGGATCGAACTCGGGTCCTTGCACTTGTGAGGCAGGCCACCGAACAGCTGAGCTAAATCCTCTGCCCATATTAATATGATTAGTATAATGAACTGAATTCCAGAGCATCAAATGTTGTAAAACAAATAAGAGTGTACATATCAAGTGAGAGCTTGCTCGGCTACAGAAATATTCATTTTCATAATCTACTCTCGCCAATAGATATATCTTCTAGAGAAAAATGTATCAACAAGGAAATATCAGTTAAAGTTTATTACAGATCAAGGGTATATAATAGGCATCTACTGAGCAGTCTATCCAACAGCTGCAGAATATACATCTTTTTAAAGCACCTCATGAAAAGCTTTAAAACAGATATTATTTTTAACCATAAAGTAAATTTCAATAAACAAAAACAACTTATTCATTATATTTTTATAAGATCATAGTAGAATGAAATTAGAAATTAACAGCACACTCTATGGCACTTGGAGATGAAATATTATACCTTCAAATAAGTAATGGGTCATGAAATATTAGAAAATGTTTTTTAAATTCCAGAATTAAATGATAATTCTAGAATTAAATGAAACACAACATAAGGAAATGTGTGGGATACACCAATAGCAGTAGTATGAGGGAAGTTTATATCAATTCTTTGAATGATATATTAGCACTCCTCTTCCTTGGTCGCTATTTTATGACCATGAAGGCTCTCTTACTCTTTTTTCTTTCTTGTTTTGTAGAATTATTTGATATTACATAGAATCACAGCATCTAACCTGTTTTACTCTAAGTATCCTAGATGTTCTTTGGATACTACGTGTTACCTACAGAGTTTTCACAGTAATTAAAAAATATATTATTTATTAATTTTTCAGATACAGGTATTTTACATAGTCCAGGCTGATATAGATCTCCTGGGCTAGACGCTTCAAGGAATTCTCCTGAATTAGTACCCCATGTAGCTCAGACAATACGAACATTCTGCCACCTGTAGATAAAACTTAACGTATCTAATATTTTGAATTCTAGTCAAATTTCCTTAGATTTTTTTCAAACTACTCTTAACTCATGATGCACAAATCAGTATTTATTGAACCTTCACACCAAATACTTCCTCTATGTATTCCTAACGTAACCATAAGCATATTCCTAAAAATAGAGTACCATTTTAGATTATAAGTACATTATTTATTTACTACATCTGAAGAGTCACAATTTCTTTGGGAAACTTCCACTATTTCCTAATGCCATTGCCCTTGTTTGAATTCATGAAGTCTTCCTTGTTCATCATTATTAGTAACCTCCTAATACTTCCCACTCTGTCAATCAAAATTCTTAAGCAAATTTCCATACTTTTCAGTTGTATTCAGTATTCCATTGACTTCTTATATTATTGTAATAAATGTCTAATTTCTTTTAGCTGCACACAGTACTATTTTTTTATTTTGGTTATCTCTAAATTTCCAAGTCACTCACTGAAATTTTCCTATGATTAACCTTCTTAAATGGCTACAGAAATATTTGTAGATGAATTGACTGAATTTGCACATTTTTAAAAATACACTTCTTTATCTTGTTGATCTAAAAAGTCCAGGTTCACCTTTGAAAAGTCAGTTGAAATGCCAACTTGCAAGGGGAACTTCCACTGTCCTTTCAAGTAAAAGAGTTTTTATGTGCTCCCACAATATAGTACTGTATTAGTCTTTATTAAGGCAATTTCTGATGACATTTATTGAATAACAATTCTAGAGCTGAAATTAAGCCTGGAGAAAAGGTCAAACAGATACTATCTCTTGGAAATTTTTCAAATATGGATCCTTGAACAAATAGCACATACGCACACCACATACACACACATACACTCACAAATGCACTGCTCTACACATGCACATACAATTACCACCAAGGCGTCCTGATACTTAGTAAACATGCTACAGTGTGTTTACTTGTCTGAGACTTAATGATCTGAAATGATAGGATTAGGCTAAATTATCTTTGTTGCATCAGCATCTAGCATAATTAGTGAGAAGTCAAAGAATATTAAATGTTTTATTCTTTATTGAATGGATGGATGAAGATATACTTACGGTATTTACTAAACACATTTTATTTTGTATCTAAAACATTGACACACAATGAATGAATGAATGAATGAATGAATGAATATTCTAATAAGTGAATAACCTGGTAAAGGAATTAAAAATACTGATAATTTTTTTTCTTTTCCCTTATTACCTTTCCCCTATCCTGAATGTGACTGTACTGTATACCTAAAATATACCAATAAACTCAATAAAAATAAAAAATAAAAATACTGATAAAATTTACCTTGACATCTTGGTTATTTGCGATTTTGTAGTATTCATAGTCTGCCACTGAGTCCCACTAAGGTCTTCTGTGTATATAAAGAAATGCATATAGATACATTACCTGCTTAAATACGTGATTATTTTCAGTGAAAACAGAAATAGTACCTTATAAATTTATTTACCAACACTCAGTAAGTGATATGCACATAAATACTTATTGAATTACTAGTATAATCTTAACACCTATTACATATTAGCTTGAATTATTTTTATATACTTATAAAATTAAAAATAATTTATAAATAATTTTGACAAAATATTGTATTGCATTTTCCCTGGGATAATAAAATTAACACTACAGTAAATTATTACAAAATAGGAAAAAGAAAGCATATACCATCCAACTGATTTCTTACTATAAAGATAATGTCTGTTTTCCCTTGCTGGGTTCCTCTATTTTACCTTACTTTTTTGGCAGGAAGGTACACCAGTAGCTTGCATTAAAGCTGATGAATAACCATCATATTTTCCTCTATGTATTTGATGCATCATATATGGGTGGTGCTTTAAATAGCACTAGAGAGTTAATCAGATGTCAAGATTTATAAATGGGGAAATTAAGAACATAATGAACTGATAAATCAGTAATAGAGCTCTTATAAAGACTCAGGCATTTGCCACTTTTCATTATGATTTTTATGCCTTTAAAAGAAAAGCATTTTTTAAAGTAGACTACTCCAATATTCCAAGTACCCTGTCACCCACAACCAAAGTTGAGATGATAAATAAATGATAATAAAAGAATTTCTGAAAAAATGAAGATATCAGATAAACAAGCTATGTTGTTGTTGTGAACAATTTCCATGACATTAACATATAATAACAAATTAATAATTAAGAGGAACCTGGCATTTACTAAAACCAGAGCATATATTACAATAAAATAAAGAGACTGTTGGGTCAAATTATATGAAAATAACTCCAGATTTAACATACATGTCATTGTTAGTTTGTATTCTTGATGTTTATTGTACTGATACCATCTTATCAACTGCTACTTGTTATATTACATTTCTTTAAAAAAGCAGAAATAATAATTGTATTTTTTACTTAACAAAATATCTTAAATGCATTATAAAAGGAATAAAATTGTGAATATTTATGAAAAGATCATTTTAATATAGCCAGTGTCCTAGAAGATCAGAAAATGTATTTGAAAATCATCTGTGAACAATAACTGAAAATGTTCACGTGAGCAGTAATTGAAAGAAAACGGAAAGATTTTAATGTGAACCTGTCTGACAAGAGAAGGAACTACAGGGAAAAAGAATAAAACTGTGTGAAAAAACTAGCTTACATTTGAAAAGAAATTCAATAAAAACAGTTCAGTTCCAGAATTTGAATACAGATCTATTTTAAATTTGATCTCTTAGAACCCAAGGCGGCAACTTTGACATAGGGAGTTTTGTTGATCGGTTGCCAGGGCGCAAGCCTTTGACTTCCATTTGGGCCCCTCCCCCTTTGTGTGGCACAGCAACAGAACACAGAGACTGCGGCCTGAGTTGTACAGGAGTTGGAGCCAGAGGACTCAAAAGCAGCTTTGGAGATCCAGAAAGCAGGAGGGCCCTGAACCCACGCTTGCTGAGAGGAGTCACAAGTTAAGGTTATGTCCCCCAAGGTTTCAAAGACTGCCGTAGTAACCCAGGAGCAGACTTGGATCCATCCCTAACCTAGGAGCTTCAAAATCAGCATTCCTCACTGAGAAAGATGTATAAAGTGGACCTGTCACCAGATCCCAAGGAGGTGGCCGCCACTGAGGCTAGAAGAAATCGAGAAAAGGATCGACAGACCAGATTTTTCAATGTGCGAAACCGAGTCATGGGGGTGAATGTGGAAGCCTTGAACAACCAAGTGGAGGAGAGAAAGCTTCAGGAGGTAACTGAGCGAAATAAGGAGGCAGCTTATGATACCAAGAAGGTGCAGTATGATCTGGTAGTCCAGATGCTAGAGAAGGAGGAGGCAAAACGAGCACGTCGTATGGCCAAGAAAATCCAGAATTTTCGACAGCAGAAGCAGGAATTCAAGAACAGATGGGAATTTGAACTTCAGGATGCAGCCCAATTCCAAAGGATTCCAGTCCATTTCCAGGAGTTTCCAGCCCAATTTCAGGAGTTTCCAGCCTGTTTCAGTGACAAAGGTCCCTTCAGTGGTCCAGCCAGCATGCAGTGCTTCTTGGGGGAGGACCTGGATAGAGCCTCATTCCTGAGAATGCAACAGCAGCAGTTCAGGTCTAACCTGGAAAGGCAGCTGCAGGAGCAACAGCAAGTCAAGGCTGAAGAGAAATATGCAGATATGCTTAGTGACCAGCTGCAGCAAGCCATGGATATACGTGCTGCCCAGATGGCCAGGCTGGAAGAGTCTTGTATCGCAATGATGTCTGCCAGAGCCAATGACAACAAAGCTCAGGCAGCTAAGCTGGCTGAGCAGCAGCGCCAGGAACATCAGTGCCAACAGGAAGCCAACCTCTCAGACATACAGAAGCAGATCACCAGTAACCTCCTGACTGAGAACCCCCAGGTTGCTCAACACCTCATGGCTCCCCACCGAGTCCTGCCATATTGCTGGAAGGGTATGACTCTGCAGGAGCAAGCTGACATCAGGAAAGCCCAGGAGGAACAACGCCATGAGAAGGAGGCACAGCGCCAGGCTGAACAAGCCCTGGATACTGAATGGGCAAACCAAACTATATCCTTGGCCCAAGCAGCACTGGAGCTAGAGGAGCAGGAGAGGGAATTGTGTGCGGAATTTCAGCGAGGGCTGGGCTCCTTCAATGAGCAGCTGGCCAAGGATCAAAAGGCCCAGCAAAATTACCTGAACTCGGTAATTTATACTAATCAACCTACTGCCCAATATTATCTACAGTTCAACACCAGCAGCCGCTGAACTCAGGATGGTCACATCACCCTTCTTTCCTATTAAACTCACAGACGGTTAGTAGTCAAAGAGAAAAATACAGTATATACCCCCATCCTGAATCCGTTCCCTAGTGGGAAAGTGCTAAGCTGATACCTGCACCTGCTATCTAAAGCAACAGAGTTATTCACTAAAGTCAAAATAAATAAATAAATAAATCGGATCTCTGTTAGTGTCCTTTATACAGTGAGACATCACTTCCTGACTTTCATTTCACTGTTACACACGGTTGTCTTTAAGTTTTGTAACATATTTTCAACACTCCATTTAAAATATTTATCTTGAAAATTCAGTATCTGGGGCTTCTCCGGGATCTTCCAGTTTTTATATTTCCTATCTATAGGCTGTATTCTTCTTATTGTTGCCTCCACCTCTTTCTTAAAAATTGGACATTTTAAATAATGAGTTCCTGACCTGGATTTGTTGCCATTTTTGTATTTATTGCTGTGGGTGTTTTTCTTTCAATCACTCCTGCTGCCACTAGCTATATATATGTATATATACTGATTGAGTCCTTCAAAGTTCCAGCAGGCTGTATGTCTGCTCTCACCTTCTTCTTCCTGGAGCCTTAAGATCAACCAGCGGGGAGATCTCAAGTGCTTTCTGAGGAGCACACATAGTTCTACATAACTTTTACCCTGCGGATCTCTCAGGATATTTTAGAACTTTGCAAAACTCTCACATTGTGTCTGGCAAAAAGAAAATTTGGTACACAGAGTTTGTAACAAAATGTCCTCACCTCTCCAGTTTTGTAGGCTCTTAATTTTGCTTGGAATTCACCCACTGATGTCATGAAATATTTGAAAAAGTACCCACTTTTGTACGTATTACTATTTTTCCACCATTCAGTTCTTCAATTACATTTATGGTTAATGTGGAACTGTAAGCTTCAACTACTTACACTTTCTTCTATATTTTCTTTTGTGTTTCCCATGGTTATTCTTATTTTGTCCATTTACTTTTTCACTGGATTAATCAGAATCTCAGGGTTTTTTTTTGTTTTTGTTTTTTTTTGTCAGATTCTGAGATTTGTGTCCAATTCTTAAAGTCCAAATAAGCTTCACAAGTACAACTGCAGGACAAAGATGTTATGTCTAGGCTTATAAATATCTTCGACTTAAAATGTATTTTTGAAAATTACCTATATATCAGAATATTTGTTGTTACACTAATCTGCCTCGACATTTTCTTAATTTTTTTAACTCCACGATAATATCTTAGTTAATTTTTAAAATTTTGGTCTTATTGTAATTCTCCCTAGTGGTACAGGTGATTCAAGCATATGAAAAAAATTAGAAGTTATTTTCTTTGCATTTATATTTAGTGTTATGCAGTCCATTTTGACCCTCAAATTGAGTATGCTGAACCTCTCAACCCTAGTACATCATAATATAAATATATTTGGAAGTAGGATTTTAAATAGATTATTAAATTAATAATGTGTTGTGAGCGTAGGCCCTCAGTACAGTGAAAGCTCTTAAAAGAAACCTACAGAAAGATGTCAGGTTGCAGGTGTACAGAGGGGAAGACCCTGTGGAGAGGCAGAGACAAAGCAACATCTGAAAGCAATAGAAACTTCCCAGAAAAAGCCAACACTGCTGGCAATTTTATCTTGATTTTGCAGTCATCAGAACCCTGAGAAAATACATTTCTACTATTTAAACAACTCAATCAGTAGAATGTATGGTGGTACTCCTAGCAAAGTCCTAAAGAACCAGATTTGTTTCATTTTTTCTCATGTAATTGCAATATTCCCAGTTAATAGTTGAATCAGATGTCTCTTACTGCTTTACTTTCTGCTCACTACGATATTTCTGTCTTGTGCATCTGTTCATCTTTGTTGTAGTGAGAATTCAAGCACAGGAAAATATAGGAATGATTTTAGACTTAGGATAAAGAGAGCAGACTATAAATGCCAAGACTGTAAGAGACCAGACTGTAATAATGAGAAAACTTGATAAGAACACTTTTCCATACTTAACCCTTCTTACCTAAGCAAAAATGATACTACAAAGCCAGAATATGGGCTGACTTACTAAAAAATTCACCTCTTTGGAGTTTTATAAATTTTATTATCTATTATACACCTTGGCATGTGTTCAGATTTATTTTTAAATCTCATCAGTTCAAATACAGCATGTTTTTGTGAACTAATGGCATCAAACTGAAGTATAAAAATTCCTACTTAGTTGATCAATATCTATCAGGTGTTTTAAGTATCTAATTGGATCTATTTAGTTTTACTTATTTATCAGTACTTTAGTATTTTGTCATCTCACACATCAGGACTGGAATTAGAAAAAATTTTCTATTTTCTCTGGTGATCTTTCTTTCCTCTGCAGTATACATTTTCCTGCTATCAGACAATCTCTATTGATACCTTCATTTCCAAGGTTCTTCTTCAAATCTATTTTGTATCCATATTTTACTATACAATCTCATTATTAAAACTTGACATACCTCATAGCACACAAAAAAAACCTGATTCTTCTTTTGTGGAAGTGTTTTCACTTTAAACATTGGAACGTGTTGAGAGATGTGATACCAGCAGAGAAGTAAGCATTGATATAGCAAGATATGTAATCCAGCTTTGTGTAAAGTGACTGAACTCTACTTTCCTAAAAATATGACTCATCTGTCTCTGTCCATTCACTTAAAGTCCTTGACATTTCAACTTTTTTTTTAACATTGCTCCTGGAAATTATAGATCAAGGACACATCATACAAGCTCACTTTCTGTAATTTTTAAAAATCATTCCTCAGTAACCTTAAGATTCATTCTTATCCTCTCGTACTCAATAAACCTTAATTGCACTGTTCACGATCTTCACTTTGCACTAGCTTCTCATTTTTGTTCTACCATATCAGACAATATTATATCAGTGAATTCTTCTCTTTCCTCCAGACAAGATATTTAGTATGATGGAGTTACCGTTATAAAATAGGTTGCTAATGTTCTTACTCTAAAATGCAATATTATAGATATTAGTTAGTTTCCTAATCTCAAAAATTGGTAAAAGTTTATATAGTCTATTTGTTATTATCCTTAAAATATTGAATGTCTATTTGATTAAATATATTTGTCCCAACACTATCACCTTTTGATTAGAAAATTAGCCTTAATTATCATCGTTCTCTCCTAGTTCCTGAAACATTGACATGGGACAATGTTATGCACATAAATATAAATAATGGATTTTTTATTCTCTGAACATATGACTGCATGCTCTGACTCTTCAGCAGGTGCTACTAAATATTATTCGCTGTGTTTTTATTTCTCCAAATGTCATTTATGGAAATTTGCATGTTCAAGAAAAATATTATGTGCCAAAACTAGCACCAGTAATTATGTTGTTTAGGCTAGTTTACTGTCTTTCCTGCTTCTGTATTGGGTTGGAAATTTAAGAATAAATCAGAAATTACAGGGGATAGCATACTGATAATTTTTCATGTTGCTCAGCACCTTAGCAAACCCCTTATAAAAATCACTATAACCTGTAGATATTAACTATCTTACTGGAAGCTCACATGAATGCCTTGGGTTACTAAGCATAATCATTCAGAATTAATATATCGGCATACTCTCAGGCAACTCAGGTTACCTTACCACAATTCCTTGTTGTTACTGGTGATAAATTAAACTACAGACATTTGACTCCTGAATTGTCAAAATGCTAATATTGATTTAAGCACTTTTACTCTGTAGAAAAATAAACATAACGGTATCGTTTGACTGTGATATCTTTGTCACTGCTCTAGCACTGTGCATTTAAAAAATATTTTTGTATAACTCCAGTAATGAAATCAACGATCATAGGTTTACCTTTTATAGCATCCACGGCTAATTTATGCAATATCTAAGTACAGATTCTGCATAAACAGAGAGCTCCTGCTTGTCTGGTAGGTACACTGGCCAATTTTGATATTTGGCAAAAGAATCTTTGAGATATTCTATGTCCCATTGTTTTTTTATTTTAGAAAAAAAGAAAAAAAATCCAAGGCACTTCTGGTTTCACTAGTTTTTGTTCATCGGGAGAGATTAACCTCACAGTTTATTATGCTATAGCTTTTCTAGGTCTATAAAGAACATTTTTTAAAAAAATATGAGGTGTAAGGAAAGACCATGACAATGGGATAGCATGGTTATATCATGCTGACGTTATATACAAAATTACTGCACCTATAATTAAATTCTATGCATTGAAAAATTTAAATGACGTTTCAATAGAAATTTTAAAGAGTTTCAATAGAAATAGAAAAAATTTTAAATGATATGTCAATAGAAACAGAAATAGAAATTAAGCCACTTAATTTTCAGTGGATCCACAGAATCATGTAGACATACTATTCGTTTTAAGATAGAGTTCCCAAATTTCCATGTATTTAGCACCAAAAGTTTATCAACTTTTAAGTAACGGTTTTACTTCACTTTATGCTGTCTTACTTCACTGTACATACTCATTATTATAGTTGTAAATTATGTTCTTAACAGTATGATTTTAATAAATGTAAATCTACTATTAGCAAATTGCTCAGAAGGTACTAATAGCTCTCTGGAGAGCACTCGTCTCGCCAGTGTCTCCCACCTCATCTAAAGGTCACATTAATTATATCTCCCTTCCTGAGAGGGAATCAACATGTCAGTCGGAGGGACTCACAACTGTGCACAGACAGAACTCGAAGAATGAGTCATTTTTATCTAACATCCTAATGTATTCAATATACACGCAGCTCTTATAAAAACAACACAAAGGAAACAGTAAAATCATTTTGATTTACTCATTTATTCTTTGGGAGACAACTAATTTGGTACTCTTTGATATTTATAATTATTAATGTGCTATTACGTTAAATAAGTTTTAGTAAAACTTTGTGAAATAGCTTCAGAGAGGAAAGACTTTCACGATGGAGAAAGATTTCATTTATCATTTTAATTTTCAAATAATTACACACATAAATTGACTTCTGATAAACATTCTCTCACTTTCAAGGGGTCTATACTTTTCAGATCACATTTTTATGAAGGGGTTATGATAAAATTGAGGTCAGAGACATAAAAAGTTCTAGCAATATGAATATTTCTAATTGATTTTTCACAATTCACCTGGTAAAATATATTCACCTTTTCCAGAAAATTCTATACGCCCTTGAGTTAAG